AGTACAAAACTTCTCTTGGTAATCAAAACTTAGGTTTGGCAAATTCCAAACCCTAAGTCACTACAACTGTGGATATAAATAAGCTGGTTATTGACGGCCAAGCTCTGGCCAATCTGAGGTTCAGACCTATCATCAAGTTCATGAGGCAGCTGCGGTTGGGCGGCTCACGGGCTCCACTGCATAGGCTCAGACAGGTACTCTACAAAATGTCTTCTATGTTCTTAGGTTCAGATCTATCGATATGTGCATGCTTATGATTCGATTGATAACTGTAAACGGGCGCTGGAAGTGAAAGGTTCGCTTGATATACGAAAGGTGCATTGCAAGAAAGCACATTATTTCAGAAACACTTTCATTTTGTCTTGAGCGTTTTTGGAATGGGCCGGATGAATTCGTCATCAAACCGGTAAGGGATTTCCGATATTTAAGAATACTAGAGGTACAGTTTTACGCGATAACTGTATGTTTTGATATGTATGATTGACGGATGCATTAGTTTTGGGTGTAGAAACTTGCGTTTAATGGTATTATTTGTGTATAACTGGGTAACTGCTTTTAATTGAACTGTAAAGTATGATGGTAATGCATGCGAGTCGTTCGAGCCCTTTGTAAGTTAGGATGTTACTCAATTCAACCCTACCGTACCCTACCCTACCCTACCCTACCCTACCCTACCCTACCCTAACCTACCCTACCCTACCTTACCCTACCCTACCCCTACACTACCCTACCCTACCCTACCCTACCCTACCCCTACCATACCCTACCCTACTCTACCCTACCCTACCCCTACCCTACCCTACCCTACCCTACAATCCCCTACCCTACCCTACAATCCCCTACCCTACCCTACCCTACCCTACAATCCCCTACCCTACCCTACCCTACCCTACAATCCCCTACCCTACCCTACCCTACCCTACCCTACCCTACCCTTACACTACCCTTCCCTACCCTACCCTACCCTACCCTACCCTACCCTACCTTACCCTACCCTACCCCTACACTACCCTACCCTACCCTACCCCTACCCTACCCTACCCTACCCTTACACTACCCTACTCTACCCTACCCTACCCTACCCTACCCTACCCTACCCTACCCTACCTACTAACCCACCCTACTCTACCCTACCCTACCCTACCCTACCCTACTACCCTACCCTACCCTACCCTACCCTACCATACCCTACCCTACTACCCTAACCTACCATACTATACCGTACCCTAGTCCCTACCCTACCCTACCCTACCCTACTACCCTACCCTACCCTACCCTATCCTACCCTACCCTACCCTAACCTACCCTACCCTACCCTACCCCTACCCCTACCCTTCGGCCTACACTACCCTACCCTACCCTACACTACACTACCACCGACAGTCCAAGTTTCAGCTAAATCGGCCCAGAAACAGGTGAGATATTGCAAAAACAAATTGATAGTATTTACTGGCGAATCCCCTTGGCGAGCGGTGCCTTGTGTCGGGCTTCGTTGTCAAAGGTCAATGACCTCCCGGCTCTGACTCTTTTCACTCAGTTTTGCAAGCGAACAACTGAGCCTAAAGCACGTGTCTTCTGCTCGGCGCCGGTCGCGGCCCCATCACGTGCACACCGCTGAACCCACACCCTCGAAAATTTAATACTACAAATGAGTGCACGCGACCGACTTGGCGTGAAAATTTCACCCCCGTAGCCCTTACCGTTCCCGAGCAATAGCCTGTTGCCGATTCTAGTGTAAACCCTATGGCACACCACGTCAGCACGCGCCACGGACGCACCCCCGGCCGCATCGTGCCCAAAATTTAATACGACCTGTTGAATGACGCGACCCACGATTGGCAAAAATTTCACCCTCCTGCGTCAATCGACGGCGCCGTAATAAGCCATTTTGGGAGTAACCCCGACGGCGGCGGACTTTTTAGGATTTATAAATAGTAGATAGATGATGGTCTTCAAACGAATTCGCTGGCAAATTCGATGACTGGATTGGGCGGCGTAGGATCTGCTGGTCATCTGACTATGGGTTGATTAGGGCCTAGTTGGGCCCCTAATTAACCCATATTAATTAGGGCCCTAATTATGGCCTAATTAGGGCTTGTAAGGTTACCAGCACCAGGTATGAGCTAGTTTTTGAACCAACAATGGGCTCGTCGTGGGGTTCAAATGTATAGCAATACGTTAGTTTTGACCTAGTTTGAGCTTCATTCGTTAAGTAGGAAAAAGACGATGCTTCTTTTGAACATCGTCACTAAACAAGCCGCCCTCGTTTTGACATTGTTTTTCGTTATTATTGTTACTAGGTACTTTGTTATCATACACAGCATTAACGAGGACCTGCTTCCAAAACAAGGCAGAAACGCTCCAGCTATTTTTGGGACGTGGTGAAAACTAACCGACACCTGGTAACTGTCATCTAACGAACACAAAACAAGCCAGGGGCTCGCAGCGTGTGTCAAAAGTAGGATGCAAAACTAGTCTGTACCCCCGACATTTAGCGTTGAGAATCATTTGACGAGGGGCTAGTCAATATTTTTACAGTGTATGACATGACTGTTTAATCACTGACCCTTGCTCGGTGCTTTGGGTGGGCATACAGTTTCTAAGCCAGGAGTTCGCATTAATTACGTGTTAATTGCATATTTCAACCCAGTCACCACTTCGTAGTTGGATCTTACATAAGGATGTCAATCGGATACCAACTTTTTGGTATACCGATACCAAACCGGTACCAACTTGATATTTAGTATTTTAAGGCGAGTGCATTTGATATTTTGTTGTATTATGAATCCTCACGAATGTAAAAGAGGCTGGGAATTTGGTAAAAAGTTGGTATTTTCCTCTTATTCCCAAGTCGGTTTGGTTTCGGTATTTTTGCATGAATATTGTTGGTATTTAGTTTGGTATCGGTGTCATGATTTTCCGTTATTAAAATCACTAATCTTGCATTCAGTATCCGTAGCAAAAACATGTTGTCACTTGTCGCTGTGTATGGCGTTCATACACATTTATGTTGTCACGGGTAGGTAACTAGGATTCAAATTCAAGATTGCAGCGACAGGAACCGACGTGAATAAACACGCCACAACTACCGAGGCTTCTCGGTTGCACTGAGAGCCCAGTGCAAGGGAGTGTATAATTCGATGGTGAGACCGCCTCATAGAACTACACAACAGGTGTGAGTTCAGACAAAAATACGGAGTTATCGTCTCACAGTACAGGGTGTCCCGAAATTGATGCGCGGTTGTTTTATCCTCAATAACTTATAAAGTGCTCGAATTTATTTCGCGGCTTATATGTTATCATAGCCCTTGTTCAGTTGCATACACGGCCTTTTGCACTCTAGCGTGTCACGTTTCAGGTTGTCAAGAGTCTCTACTTTGAAACAACGCCATGCCGTTTATATCTTCTGAAACGGCCTCTTCTCTGAGCTAGCCCGTGGAAGCTTGCTGAGCTCTTTTCTGACGATCGTCCAGATAATTTGGATCGGGGACAGGTCCAGACTGTTGCCAGACCATGTCCCCTTCTCCCAGAGGCCTGGGTGCCTCGCTCGGCACCAGTCCTGGGTCTTCCTGGCGTGATAAGCTGGAACCCTTTCTTGCTGGAAAATGGCCCTGGACATGTCCGACAAAAGTTTGACTCTGGTTTTTGAACCATTTACCTTTTCTCTCAGCATCTTTGTGGCATCAGTCTTCTTCAGCACCTCGCTGATATAGTAATAAGCAGTCACGGTCTGTCCCCGAGGCACCTCGTGAAGCTCAGAGCGCCTCTGTAGCTCATCATGCTCCAAATGAGATTCTTCATCAGACGTTTCACCGTCTCGACAGCGGACTCCTCATAGCTGCCGTTGGCCCACATTTCGATCGTTCTGGCAGTTAAGGGCTTAGAGACCACAAACGGGGCACCTTGTCATTGAAAAGGACGCATCTCCAGTCCTGAATGGTCCAGTTTTTGTGGGTCTTGGCGAAATCCAGCTGCCTGCACTTCTGGACCACGTTAGGCCAAGTCTGTATCCTGAAGCTGAGCAGCTTCAGCTTCAAGATAGTCTTCAAATACTGGCGGAGGGTCGATTTGGATGCTGGGACATGCATCTCATTCAGTTTTCTTGTCAGCGATGTTGAATGGTGCTTTTTAAAGGTTGACTTTGCAATCACGATATTCGCCACTCGGCTCAAGGCAGTCTTCCGCCCTCGAACTGTGCTGTTCTTGAGTGTCTCTCCTGATCGTTTGCGGTCCATCCAAAGTTTAATTGTCGCAGAGTTGACGCCCAATTCTCTGGCATCCGGAACCTGGGTCACACCGTCCTTGATCATCCCCACCGCGCGGTAGTGGATCGGTAGTTTGTGCCTTTTCACTTTTGGTAATATTTTTTTTTTTTTATTCCTCGTCCTCCACACGGGATATGTTTTCCCATTTATGGGAGGGCTCCTGCTCCTCCTCAGGGCTACGGTGCAAGGCGGGAGCCCACCCCACCCCCCAGTGACACAGTTGGGGACGCCAGTCCGGAAGCCGGGCGGCACCGGGGATCGAACCCGGGTCCTCCCGACCACAGAACCGACGCCTTACCAACTGCGCCACTGGAGCCGCAAATATGCAGCTTCTCCACGTTGCCTGTCTGGACAAGTGTGGCCTCCCGCGCCAACTGCCGGCCGCGGTCGGGTTAGCCGCTTGGTTCACGTGATCGTGTGACCAGCAAGATGTCAGTGGTGCCAGAACCGGTAAAATTGCAGTTGTTCAGCACTCGGGAGGGACAGCATAACATGCGGCACCAACCGCGCATCAATTTCGGGACACCCTGTAGCCCTCCGTGGCATCCTTCGTAGCTCTCTGTGAATCCTATGAATCAAATGCATCGGTAACATGGCTTTTGAAAATTGACCCCATATTGTTTATCCGCCCCTGATGTTGGGGTTCCCCGATTCCTTATCGCGCGCCGCGAGACTGTGGGACGCGGACGGCCGGGCAGACCTATGCGGCAGACGTGTTTGTTGACATTGGCAGTGCACTGCTGCGGTGCGAAGGGTGCGGTGCGACCAAAATGGAGCTCCCATCGTTTTCCAAGTTCGGGCTTTGGATAGTGTCGACGGTGTTCGGTGAGTGTGCGTCTAGGATGCAAGCGAAACGATTGATCTTTGGCTTGCATCTTCTCTGCTATATTGGTTATGGTCTGTACTTTGGGGAGAGTAATTGGTACCTATATCAATTGGTATACCATACCGCTAAATGTATATAACTAGTTATCTGGTATCCTCGCCTTCAGAATGGTAACAGACACACCAGCATAGTGCGACGGATCACGCGCACGCGCATATACAGCCGTTTTCCGTTTGAAGGTATATTTATTTAGGCAAGGAACTAAACGGCCGAACCATGATGTGTCTCCAAGCGTGTTTCATGATAGTGATTTCCGTAGTTAATAATATGGACAAATATTGTGTCGATAGTTCATGAACCTCTACGAATCAAGCTTGAAGGTGGAGGTTCATGAGCTCTCGACACAATGATTGTGACTGAAGTAGGCATGTCAGTGCAGTGTTAATGGAACAGAACATATGGTCGGCTGGGAAAAAGTAGGACAGAGCGGGCCTGGATGGGTATTGGGTAGGCGTGGCGCTGAAATAAAAATGCCTTACAAGCCTTGGGATAGGGATGGTGAGGGACGTCACGGGAATAAGATTCAGCTATGGTCGGCGGAACCAAAGGCCACGAGTGAGATCACGGAATGGAAGTTACATTGCCAGGAGCCGGAATGAAATGCAATGGATATAGCAAAAGACAGAATGCATGTTTTATGGCATAATAAAGCATAAGGGTCATGGGCGTAGGAACGGCTGGGACATTGTAGGAGCATGGGTGCAGAAATCCATCAATAGCCGGTGGAGGGGGAGGGGAGGTAGGAAACGGTACTGGGTATCGTGTTCTCTCTCGATTTTGGTATGTATCGCCACCGATATCAGAAAAAGTTGGAGGCTCATACTTCATAGCGATCTTAATCATGGGTGGAGAACCTACCCCGGCCCGGCCGTGGCCGGGGTAACTTTCAGCCTACCCCGGCGCGGCCGGGGCAACTTTTCTACTCTTGTAAATCCTAAAAGCTGTCTCCATACGAGAAAAGAAAACTCACGCTCTTCGAATGTTGACTTCCATGGGCGTAATATTGCAAATCAGGTAGGTATTACCATTTACTTAACTTGCCATAATCTCCAACCCTAAGACCCGCGTGTGGTCGCCAATTCCAAGATTGCTCTCACATCCTGTTCAGTTTCGAAATTTTGGCGCGCCTTCGGCGCACTTTTTCAAAACTACTGCTTGACCTCATTGCCTTCAACTGACCTGCCACCAACCGCAACCACACCCGTTTATGAGCGTACCCGTCAGGGTGCTCATAAACACCGAGCGGCCATCATGCTTCGAACTCGGACTGTTGTAACCAGGCCGCGTGCTCTCGCCACGCGGAATCCAACGCTCTAGCAACTGAGCTACGAGACCGGGACCGGTCGATATTCCTGGATCGACTCCCTGTTTGTATTATAAGAGCCGCCCAACATTGAAAAAGGCTACGCCCGTGGATGTCAGTGACCTATTTTAGTGCTTTGCTTGGTTCGATCTGTCAATTTCTCTGTAAAGCTTCTACTATGGTGAGTTGTCTTTTTGTAGCTATTTTGAGACACAATAAAAAGCTGAAAACGCAACATTTAGGTACTCAAAATGGTATATGGTTTGGTTTGGGTTCGGTGTGAAATTGGAAGTTTAAGTAAAAAGAAATGATAATTTAATTAAAAGGAAATTGCCTTTTCGATCATTCCAAAAATGTTATGAATAATACGGTGTCGGATACAACGCTCATCCTTGAGCAAACACAGCATCCTATTCCATGCGTCAGAATAGGGGTTTGATGATGACCGTTGAGAACAACGTGAGTATATCGTCTTCCCGCGACTATCGGTCGCCGGCCGGGGTAACTTTTTCAAACATTCTCCACCCATGATCTTAATAACATAGCGACCTGTATTGAAGATATCGGGCCAAAGCTTTTTGAGATGGGTCATCAGTATGTGTTTTGTCACAGACGTTCCGGTTTTATCCACCTAAGCACAAACACATGTTTTGAAAATCATCAGAGAAGCAAATGTTTCGAAAAACGGGTAGAGGCCAGAGGGCATAGTATCCTGAATTCGTAATGTTACATGGGAACTGGGAAGCAGCGTTGATGCGAAAGTTTTTTTCTGTTTTAGATTATTGTGGGTGTATAATTCATTGTCTACGCCCACCGAAGAATTATTGCACCCACAATAATTTTCTTAAATCAATTAGGTACAAAAGTTGGCTCTAACGCTTATGACGCTAAGGGTTAGATGAAAATGGAGACCGGAGGGTGACCGTCAAACCACGCACTAACTGGTCATACGGATGGAAAATCATCAGTTTTCGCAGCTTATCCGAGAGATAACTAGGGGCCATATCGGGCCTTCTGAACGCAAAACTATAAACCTCGCCTAGCCTCGCTATCTCAAGGTAAGCCTGTCTCGCCACGATAGAAGGTAATCTGTCATATTTTGTTATCAGCTATACTACGCATCGCCCTTGCCTCGCCTTGAGACATGTGTGTACTTGCATCGCTGTTGAGGGGATTGTGCTGGTTATGACAGCTGTTATCGTCTATCAATGTCTTTGTTGTGTATAATTCACTATAACCTGCCATAAGATAGAGCGGCAGTCCTGCGTAGACATGCCACAACACGTTGCAACATGTTGGGGGCTGACTCCGGCCCTTCTTCGTACAGGCACACCGATACCAGACCCGCCAGAGGTTCAGATCAGCAGCTATGAGGTACCCTCGGGCCCCATGAAAGTTTGGACCGTGCATACCGTCGAGGGATGCCGACGCGGGATTAAAGAATTACTCAGGTCAGAAGTAATTTAACGGTCATTCCGTACAGCAATCGAGTCTGCTTATAAGTCTCTTATTATACTTTGAGTGCTGTGCCTGTGTTCATCTGGGCATGAGGTTGGCGTGTGGGTATGCAATGTGCATGTGTACCTGCAACGATATTCACGATCCTTCCAACCCAAACTAAAGATTCAAAACAGATAAACAAGATGTGCTGTTTGCACTTTGCATTATGAGCCACCTATACCTACTGAATGAAAAATAATACCTACCGATCTATGAGATCTTGGATAAAAGATTAAAAACAGTACCACCATGTCAAATTTCTCTCGTGATCTCAAATACGACTGTGTCCCAGCTCTCGCCATCGCTAGGTGAACAGATTACAGAAGGTCGCTTGTGGTTTCGGTTTTCGGCAGGCGGCTGCGACGAACCGAGACTTCCCACGTCGGACTGGACGTCGAGTGGAAGAAAGGTGGCCGGTGGAAGGCCGCCCTGCTTCAGCTGGCCACAGTGGACGGCTTCTGCCTGCTGATCCAGCTGCACCGCATGACAGGCTGTGTGCCAAAGGAGCTCACGGTGAGCAGCTGTCTGTCCCACGGCACATAACGCATGGTCCGTCCGTGAGGCGCGAGCTGATGGGAGTCCCAGTGCAGTGAAGAGCGGAATTTTCATCTTTATTCCTTTGACGACCACACGACGCGCAGAACCTGAGCCGAGTAGATCATTGGTCAATAATAATTGTTAACAAGTGTCAAATACCTATTAGAGACAGAGCCGGTCCCGGACTTAATTGCCGCAAACGCAACGCCGCGTGAGAGTGTCGAATAACTTTAGTTACACTTTTTTACGTAATTAACCCGCGCGGGGCTGGGGGGGGGGTAAATTTTACTCCCCCCCTCGCGAATTTTTGCAATATCTCAAAAACGGCGGCGCGCAGCGCCGCCAAACTTTCAGTACCTCTTTTTACATCAATTTGACACGTTCTCTGAAAATTTGAGCGCGATAGGCGTTATCACAAGTGTAATCGCGGCCATTGGGGCGACGTAAGAAAAGAAGAAAACAACTGGCCCCAAGAACTTTAAATTATCAGTTAGCATGCACCTTTTCCTTGATATGTAGAGAATTTACCATTAATTGTTAGAGAAAATTGCATTTAAAATTTTCCATTTATGCTTTTTCATCGTTTGCACAGTATGTTCTTTTACTAAGCTAGAAACTCTAATTAGAAATAGTTCCCGCATCATCAAGAACAATAGGGAAGGCTTGAAGTGAATACAATAATCTAAACGGTTTTGTAATCCATGTGAAGACACTTCTAAAATTGCCTGTAGAAATATTAAAGGCAAAAGTTCAACTTCTTCACAAGACGGATGGCTATAAACCTATTCAACGTGTGACAACTCAGCCGGTATTTCGTCGCCTACAGCCCAGCTTTCCCTAGTGACCGATAGAGGCGCTGCTATCGATGTCCGCGCGTGCCGCCTAACGGAAATCCGTCGGATTTTTTTTTTTGAGAAATTGGCGTTTTAGTGACGTCATGTTCGCCATTTTCGCCTCAAAAACGGCAAAATTTCAAACGCCGCTAACATCTTCATTTTTAAAGGAATTAAGACGTAACAAAAAAGGTTATACGTAATTCAACTTTGTCTATCAAATGGCTATCTCGGTTTTTTGATACTTTTGGATTTAGGCTTAATTTTTTTTCTAAAAAAACTGACTTTTTTGGAAAAATAATTATAAAATCCAAAATTTTGAGTGTATCGAAAAAACCGGAATATTTGTCAGAGAAGTGGTCTATGTGCACCTACATACCAATTTTTAGAAGAATCGGTTCAAAAATGTGGGAGTTATTCAAACTTTTATGACGTCACGACACACAAAAATTTTGAAAAAATGATTTTTTTAGAAGTTTTAGACCTTGTACGGAATCAAAAATAGCACCATTCGATTCGCCGTGAAAAACTGCATCAGATAGACACCTTTTTAGGCCTTAACAACCAACTTCAAAATTTGACCTCACTTGACCTGACGTTGACCTGACCTCGACCTGAAACTCATCCAGAGGTGGTCCATATCACTTATTGAGTGTGCCTATTGAATTCTGTGAGTAAAATGACCCATAAAACATGTGTCGCACATGCCCTTTTCTATATTTTGTTTTGGGTGACCTGACCTGACCTTGACCTTGACCTTGACCTCTGAATGATATTGTATGCAAGGAATATTGTCTTGGTAGCCTAAAAACACGTTTTGGGCAATCAGTCTCAGTCCATGACTCCATTCTTCGGCAACTACGGTGCAAGGCCGATACTGCATACACTTACACTTGCAATTTGTACCCTTGACCTGACCTTGACCTTGACCTCAAACTTTAAATTAAGTACATGTTTTAAGTTGTTCGTGATGATATCTTTCGATTGGCGTTTGAATTTTCCAAATCGGACCACTAGTTCGGGTGATAACAGGGGGGGGGGGGGTAAAATTTACCCCCCCCCCAGCCCCGCGCGTTCGGCTGGAGACCCCAGCCCCGCACGGGTTAAAAGATGAGTTTGTTCTCCTCATGGCCCCATTTGTTTCAGCTAGGTTTTATATTTGCTGTGGTTAGGCAACACTTTTTTGTCATTACAATTACAATCGTAACTAAATCTCGTGTGTCTATGCATTTATATGTGGTGGACGGAGCATTTGTAACCTTTTGTGAACAGGTATTGTATGCTTACTTTTGATCAGAGGCGTAAACGTGACACTGATAAAGTCTAAGTTTGCATATGTTGTTTTAAAGTCATTTTTTCCCCAGGAAATTACATATGTATGTATAGTTACTTTTCGGATGATTCTCTGGGATGTAAATATGTTACTCGAAAGTCCATATATTTCGGGTGATATTGCTCACCCTTGTTCACTGGACAAATAACAAACAATTACCTGCACATGCGAAAAAGCACACACCACAATAATTGGCTTAGACGGGTCACAACACTTTTTCAAAAATATATCAAATGGCAAAAATGACACGGTCCTTAACTTGCATGTTCCTCTATATATGGACTATATATGGACTTTCGAGTAACATATTTACATCCTAGAGAATCATCCGAAAAGTAACTATACAGAAGCTTAAAAGTAAAGATGCACGGAGTGCGGTTTGTTGATCTTTCCTTTTCTTGCTGCAGGATTTTCTGGAAAATCTAGGAATTCGGAAGGTCGGCGTTGAAGTACTTCGGGACTGCAAGCGCTTGGCAGCGTGTCCTTCCATTCCACCTAATGTTGCCTTTAAGCCTAAGGGATGTCTAGACCTAAAATATCTCGTCAAAGACATGAAAGACCAGCAGCGGGAATGGAAGAAGAGTACTCCTTCTCTAGAAGACCTGGCCGCGCATGCCGAAGTTCCCTTTCAAAAGGACAAATCCCAAACGTGCAGCGACTGGGAGTTGGACTGTCTGCATCCTGTTCAACAGGTAAAGTAAACACGCTATGCATGAACCATGGTTGGTATTGTATTATAACTTTGAAGTTAGGTATGTTTTACCTGTTCTTTGGCTGTCAAGTTGATTCAAAATGGCGCTATTGATTATTTTGTAAACGGAATCGCCGTCTGTGTAGGTATGTGGCAACATTTTGGTCTATACCGCGACAACGACGGCGAATCTCGAGAACTTGGAGAGGGCAGGACCGGACAACAATTTTCGACGTATTCTTCAAAAAGTGTAGCATACATGTAGTTGTTTCTGAACAAAATTGGTTGCCAATAGCAACATTAAGACATGCCAAGTGCACGTCTCTATAGACAATTCCTGAAGGCTACGCTCGGGCCGCCCTCAGCCCAACATCATGTCGGACTTTTGATAGGTAACGGCGTCGGACCGTTTAAAACACACATCGCCTTCTAAGTTGTTTTATCCCGCGCCCTGATGGGGGGCCATTTTGGCCCCCCTGTGGTTTTTCTTAAATAGCGAAAAAACGGCGGTGCGCAGCGCCGCCAAATTTTGGGTACCTTACCGGGCATCAATTTGACACCTTCACACAAAATTTCAAGTCACAGGTCACCTCAGGTCAGGAGTTATTGAGGTCAAACTGAGGTCATGTTCGAGTAAAAATGAGCAAAAAACATGACACCTTGAAACGCTCACCAATTCTACAGTTAACAAGCAATTTTAAAGTTCTTTATGTGGTTGTGTAGAGAAAAAACGGCGCTACTGAATTGCTATCTCGGATTTTCGAAATTTTGGGATTTTCACCCCCAAAAATAAAAAAAAATGATTTTTTTAGAAAAACACAAAAAATTTCCAATTTTTTTTCGAATTTCGAAAAAAACAGAATATATGTGATAGTCCCTGCGCTCTTCGATACACATACCAAATTTTAGATCGAAACCTCTTTTTTTGGCCAAGGTATAGCGAAAAAACTGTTAAAAATTGATGACGTCAAATTTTTGAACTCAATTTTTAGCAATTCTAGACCTCGTAGCGCAAAACGGAGAACACCATTGAACTCCCCGTGACGAGCTGCATCGAATCGATACCCATTTTATGCAAAATATCAACTTTGAAATTTGACCTAATTTGACCTGAACTTGACCTGACCATGACCAAAACGTGACCTAAGCTGGCCCAAAAGTCTGCCTGACCCACTTTATCGCATTTGTCATGTAAATTGGACCATAAAACATGTATCACACGACACTTTCATATTGTGACCCCCCAGTGACCTGACCTCTGTGACCTGACCTGGTATCAGTGACCTCGAATAGCAAAATATGTGTTTGAAGAACATTTCCCCATCGATGATTTTCAATGAAATGCATTTTACTCGATTTTACAACGCATTTCTTGAAATGCCTGTAAACGGTGAAAATTCGACCTTTGACCTGACCTGTGACGTCATCGGTTTGACCGAGGTCAATGAAATTGGGTCACAAGGTAGTTCCCCGTTGGGGCTATCCAACGCCGTTTACCACTTGTCGCTATGTTGCGTGGTTCTCGAGATCTTAGGGGGGGGGGGGGCAAAATGGCCCCCCCCCCCATCAGACCGCGTTGCTCGGCAGACCCCATCAGGGCGCGGGTTAATATTCTATTGGTGGTTGCTCGCATTTATCCCTGTGAGCTTACGCTAAGTATGGACCTTGATTGGTAGGTATATTTTAGTTTGAGTTTGTCTTTGTCTTAGTTTCACTTAGACACTTCCTTAACCAATATCTTCCTTGCAGATGTATGCGGCCCAGGACGCCGTTATTGGTGCCAAGATATTCTCGAAACTTTATGGAAATGTCAACATCGATAATGCCATCGACCAAAAATATTCCAATAAAAATCGATCGCGGATGGTAAGTGTATTTATATTAATACAAACCTTTCAAAAAAAAGTTAGCAGGGAAATTTATCGGGGGTAAAATAATGTATAGGTATTATTATATTGGAAGGATAACTACTGGTATTTCATGCACCTATCGTTGACGAAGACGCCAATAACCGTCACAAACTGAGAAATCATGGGAAAACGTCTCCAGAGAAACGGGGTCAAGCGAGCGGGAAAATTTAAGAGAAGATGATAAGAAATGGAGAATTTAGATTTTAGTGGAATTGGGAGAATGTAAAAGCGTTATAAAATGTTGCGTTCAGTAGAGGCATTTTGTGCCACAGGAAGTCTTCGTAGGTCACAGATTCGTAGGTATTACATATCTATGACCCCAATCACACTGAGACTGAATGTGAATAAAAGGATGGTTTTAGTAAATTGTAAAAGTTTACTGTTGAGTGAAATTGGAGTTTTCTTTGGAGCCGGCTCCTTCACTTCCCTCCGAAGTCCAACTGCAATACCAGTTGCCACATGTCACTCAGTAACTGAACTCGTACAAGCGAAAATTTAGCGACTCGAAAGCGGCTCTGTCGTGAGATTTTGATCGCTCGAACACCGAACAGTTTACGAACCCTCTCCATTTAGAGATAATAATCCTTATAGCTATTTTCCACGTGCTTTGCAAACAGTGTCATAATAAATAAAAGCCGTGTAAATTATATTTTCTGTTATTGATACATATACCATATCTGGAAAAAGGTGGTCTTTGTATAACTATAGCCAGTGAGTTACCCATCGATATAATTGTGTCCTTTCAGGAAAGTTCGCCCGCATGTGATGATGATAAAGAATGCGACGGATGCGGCATCTTGATGACAGTCAAGCAACTGAGGGCTGTAAAAGCTGTTCCAGTTGAATACGAAAAGTTGCTGCCAGGTAATACCTATGTAGTCTGTGTGTCACGACTGTCTATGAGTGAGTGATCAATCACAGATACCTATCACTATTGATCAATTGGTTAACAGAACATAATGTATTGGGCCCAAAGGCCCAATACATTATGTTCTTGAACTTTGAAGGGAGTATTCTATGTCGGATCAGAAATGTTTCATGAAATGAAAGTAAATACTGATCAGTGAACATAGCAGTTCGTAATGATCACAAAGGTCATTCAGGAGTAATAACGATGTAAATTGATTCCAGCTCCGCTGAAAAACTGGGATACGTCCATGCACTTCTGCGGGAAGTGTCAGCTGAAATGGTTTGAACGACAGCGTGAGACACAGCGGTCATTTGAACTTCTCCTACCGCCGGGGAACAGGTAAAGGCGTTCTTTATCATATACGTGTTTTGTGGTCCTTCTAAATGGTAAAACTGCTGACTGCATACACTTTTAAAGGGACCCTCCCACCTTCAAAAAAGTTAATGAATTGGCATGAAAGTGATGTCGCTCGGTTCAGAAAGAGCAAAAATGAATATCTACCAAATTTCATCGAAAAATATTCACCGGTTTTCAAGATATTAGACTTTTATTTTTGTTTACTTTTTGGGATCTCCACTGTTCCTAGCGACTTTATTTGAAAGTGCGGCATTTGTTGCGCGCAAAGCAGCATATACCTACCACACGCGTGTTTCTTTTTTCCAACCAAAGGAAGGCGCTATACCCGAAGATGCTTCTTGGTAAATAAACCAAACAAAAACAAACATAACCTAACCTTTGGGTGGAAAAAAGAATTACGCCTACCACACAGGGGAGCAATGCCGCTTCAACCCTATTGGCCGTAGTGTCTAACGGTGGCGGCCATATTGTGCAGACCAAGAAACGGCTGCCGCCTGTGTTGAGGAATAGGGAATTCGGGACCTCGATTTACGTTTGCGGCCGCCGCATCCGTTACGTTCAAGTTACGTAGATACGGAACCCGGCATCTTACGCAGAATTGAGTGGGGAACACGATCGTATCTTCAGAATTCCTCAAATTCACTCGCCGGACCTACATTTGCCCCGGCCGAGGGGGTTGATTGAACCCACCTCGCTAATGCGCCGCTAATTAAACTAGAATTAAGCGGTAAATTGGTCGTTTGCGACAAAGGATAATGCAGAGTGACTGGTAGGAACCCACTGTAAAGGTCCCGGGTCAACCGGTGACCTCTGAGGTCAGGTCAAGTGATCTAAGGCACGGGTTCGGTTTTTTGGTAAATAACTTCGCCAAAAATGGCCGTAGAGCCGCGATTTTGGCATCATCGTGTTCAGCTAGCTCAGGCGCATCGCCATCGAGTGATATACTTTTTGTTCGGGTCAGGTCAACTTAGGGTGTTGACCTCAGGTCAAGGTCAGGTCAGCACCCCCAGGTCACGAAATTGGTCGAAAGAGGTCATGTCGCATATCATTCGATTCGGCAGGTCTTCCTGAGTCCATTGGTGGCTTTCCCGACTCGCTAGCTCAATTTGATCGGGAGTTATTGAAGAAAAACTGTGACCCTTGTGACGTCACAAATGACGTCACGCAAGGGCAACAATGCAAATATGAAGCATAGAACCTTGCAAGGAGTGCATGAAATCATGATTTTATATGCTTAGATAGTTTCAGATCATTCTCGGCGCCAAAATAGCAATTTTCATATTTCCCCATTGACTTATAAAGGGCTTAACGTATTAGTTTCTTGTATCTGAGAATTTTTAGGATTTGATCTTATTCTCCACTCGATTCTGCGTAAGATGCCGGGTTCCGTGTCCACATAGCTTGAACGTAACGGATGCAGCGACCGCAAACGTAAATCGAGGTCCCGAATTCCCTATTCCCCAACACAGGCGGCGGCCGCTTCCTGGTCTGCGCAACATGGCGGCACCGTTGGACACCATCTGGCGGCCGATGCGCATTCCACATAGAGTTCAGTGATATACCACCGCGTGCTACAAAACGTTTTAGTCAAACATTTAACGGACGTTCGAAAGCCTGATGACGTCATCAGATTCCCTTAACCCTCGCCCTGGCAGGGGGGGGGGGGGTCGATGCGACCCCCCCTAAGGTTTTTCGAGGATAGCGTAAAAACGGCGTCGCGCAGCGCCGCCAAATTTGGCACAGCCTATGGGGCAACCTTTTTACATATGACCTGAAAATTTCAGGTCCGGGTGACCTTGGGTCAGGTCACCAGGTCAGAAAAACCGGTACAAGGTCATGGTCAAATTTCAATTTTCTTTTTGCACTTGTCCAACTCACAGTTTTGCACTGATTTCCTTCAAACTTTCAGGATGTGCTAAGTTCACCGAGTTGTATAACATATAGTTCGGGTTTTTTGAGGTCACTGACCTGAGGTCAGTTAGAGGTCATTACGTCGTAATGTTAAGCCTATGGGAAAATACTAAATTCGGAAAATACTGGAGATATCCGCTTCGTTCTATCACTTTTGTGCTTTGAAACCACAGTACTTAACAGCAGGTCACTTGGTGCTTCTTTGTTTGGTGTACTTATCCATGGGTCAGGTCAAATGAGGTCAACTGAGGTCAAATGACGTTTTTGCCAATAACTTGGCACATAATGACGCTAGAGCTTAAAAATGGTATCATTGTGTTCCTGGTGATCAGCCGAATCGAATGATATGCGATATGATGTAATTTGGTTAATTTTAACTTACTTCAGTTTACTTAAAATTTAAGAAAAACTTTAAGTACACTTAAGCAAGCTAAAAAGTATATCATTCGACGCGCCTTGACGTGCTGAGTTCACTGGTGCTTTTCTTTTTGCTCTATCTTAATTAGATCAAAAGTTATAAGCGAAAAACTTTTGACCTGTTTTTAGCGAAATTTTTACACTTATACCCCCCAAAACCCCCCTAAATATTGACCTAGAGCAACCAAATTTGCACAGGGGCGAGAACTCCAGGGGGCCCACCTACCTACCAAATTTGGTGTTTCTAGGTGCCATAGGAGCCAATCGCGAGGGGGGGTCGCATCGACCCCCCCCTGCCAGGCCGTGTTATGAAAAATGCCCTGCCAGGGCGAGGGGTAATGGTTAAGAGATAGGGACCACGCTGGTCCCATCCTGCAAGTAAAGGGAAGAAATTTCTTGAACACCATAAAGCTGCGGGGGTTGCGACCAGGATAAATGGTGGTTTCTGAGCCTGGCCGCAAACTTGGCTATCTCAACTCAAAACTAATGTTAAGGTGGGAGGGTCCCTTTAAAGCAGAAGAAAACATGATTTGCTTAACTGCACACCGATTGTACCTTTAATCGGTCTTGCGCACTGACTTCCAATTTGCAACCTCCGGAATTAAATAAACGACAATAACTTATGGTACATACTACATGTGTGGTAATTTATTACGTTTTTGACGCGACTTCTATTTTCTTCTTCAGAGACAAGCATTCTAAGGCCATTGTGGCGTACCATGAAGATAAGGGTTTGGTGAAGATCGTTCAGAAGTTTGTCGATCACCTTTACAATACCGCTCAAGAACTGCGAGGCAACCATATCAGGCCGCTTCCCAATACCTGGCCGGAAGATGTTTACCAGAAACACCTACCCAACATCTATGAATACGTGTCCTCATTGAGTGAGGACGAGCGCGAGGATGTTCGGCGGAGGATTTTTGGAACATTCCAGCTTGTCGACCTGCCTGAGATGGGCAGCAGTGTTCGCCACGGGCCGGGCCAGCCCAATGGGCCATGGGCTGGGCTGGGCTACGGGCTGGGCTGGGCCCACAAATATGAAGGATCGATGGGCTGTGGATGGGCTGGGCCAATAGCTGTAAAGTGGACTCAGAGGTTCGCGACTGCGGACGTTCGAAAGCCTGATGACGTCATCAGATTCCCGTAATGGTTAAGAGATAGGGACCACGCTGGTCCCACCCTGCAAGTAAAGGAAAGAAATTTCTTGAACACCATAAAGCTGCGGGGGTTGCGACCAGGATAAATGGTGGTTTCTGAGCCTTGCCGCAAACTTGGCTATCTCAACTCAAAACTAATGTTAAGGTGGGAGGGTCCCTTTAAGAGCAAGTCTGCGTATGCGCTGTGACTTGTCGTTAAAAACCGTGAAACCCGATATTGACTCCATTTAATCGTGTTGTTATTGATTCAATAGACCGTCGTTCACGATGATGTTGCTCTGTCCGTTTCAATAGATCGGTGTCCGTTTTAGGTCGCAGTGTGCACTGTTCACTGTTCGACTGTTGAAACTAGTAGGTACTATCGCATCGTGTCGTGTCGGCCCCGCCGCGGTTCAGCCCACCCCGGTCCGCCCCAACTCCGACCCGTCGAGGGGGCTGCTGCGCGAGCCGCGGGGGCGGACCGGGGCGGCAAAGTGTAACCTAAACCAGCAAATGATTTATGGCGGGGAGGGGGCGAGTAGAGAAGTGCTGTATGCATTTCACGTGTAGCAACGTCTTGCTGTCGTCGCTAATACATCTTGTCTGTATCGTTACAGTGCTTGGGCGTGGTAGTGGTGATAGTTTAGGCAAACACTGAATAGCAATCTCGTCCAATTTGTAGGTAACCCGACGGGCAGAGTATAATCAACCCACGCCCCGTAGGGGGGGGGGGAGGGGGACGGCTCCCATCTCCTTTCCCGCCGATATCTCCTAAAGTAGGTACCTATTGTATTATTGTATGTAGGTATCGTCACCAAACTTGCAGAACCCCTCCGGCCATCAATTTCACCTTGCAGTCATTTTTTTTCTTCATATAATGGAGAGGTCGTAAAATTGACCTGACCTTAGGTCACAGATAGGTATAAAAAAATCCAACTGGATTTGGAGTCCAGTTGGCGAAAAATGGACAAAGTGAAAGATTGATCACCCAGATTATGCGGTCTTAGGAGCCCTACTTCTTGGTTCTTGGTAGCCCTACCAAGACGATGCATCACATATACCGTGCTAACTGCTAAGGTCAAGGTTAGGTCAGGTCACCGAAGACGCATATTGAACAGGATATGTGCGACGCACGTTTCGAGGGTCATTTTACTTACAAAACTCACTGAGGATACTAAATTAGTGACATGGGCCATATTTGAATGAAGTTCAGGTCGAACAATGTAGGAGAATCAGGCAGCCATTGTTCAGCAGATTGCAGTATAGAGTAGCTGTCAAGTTACCAGCAAGCACACTGCCGATACATTACGCAGGTTTAGGGTGAGTTTAGTGGCTTGCTCCGCACTTTGAGACCATTTTACGTCATGATTGAAGCGTTCCACCAATCCGAACGTACTGATCAGTGAGCACTAGATATCTTTAGGGCCAGAGATACAATGTCGTTCTCGGTCAGCGATCTGTCCCTGGTTCCCGCAAGTGATAGCCATTTTCAAATCTAGCAACATCAATGGCCATTTAAAAATCGAAGCAGGGAACCTATTCATACACCATCCATAGAGTCTAGCCGAAATCACCGCTCGAGTTATTCCGAGTAGAGTTCTCTTCTCTATACAACAAAAATTATCATTTAACCAAAAGTGTATTTCGGAAGCATACAATCGAACAGAACCTCTAGGTTGAACTTTTTACGAATGTTCAAATTCTCTCATGCCAAGATGAAGTACAAGCAGACAATATTGAACGCAATCATAATTACTCTCTCATACAAAAACGCATACACACCAAAACCGCTGATGAACTTTACACAAAGGCGCTCGGATTCGCGTGTACCACGTTCGTACGTGCTGTGAGATGAACATCTGTCGCCGCGATGATATCTGACACATTTGGGACAGCCAGTGGCTAGCGATCCCAGGATTCGGATGGCGCTGGCCCGAAGCATATATAAACAATCATGCTATGCACAAGTTTCTAATGAAAAAGTCCTATACGTCTTTCTCAGAAAGCTTCACAAACGTATCAACTTCAAAAGATTATTGATCAATAATGTTATCAATTGAAACTGGCCCTGTAACGCTTCCTTTTCAACGCCATGTATTCAAAATCTTGAAAACGCTTGATCAGGCCAATCTGTTCATTAATTAGGTAGATACCTACCCTTAGGAAACCATTAAATAAATGACTTTTTTTCTCAAAATAACGTTTTGATGTGAATGATACAAACAACATGCACGTTTGTAAGAAGCAATTGCTACCCCAAGAAAGCGTTACATGCCCCAAATTTTTCGTTATCTTTTATCTCTCACCTCAACTTACCGAATTCCGGGAACTGTCAGCATGGTTCTGACAATAGCTTTCCACTTACCGTCCGCAACAGACGTGGCTTTTTGGTCTGGCCGTGGTCAGAGGGCCACACATCAGCCACGACAAAGGGAACGTCAGCCATCTCAGGCTGACCCGACACTCTGTGCTCAGCGGAGCGTCCCACGTCCCACGGGGTGTCGCGCCTCACCGAGGGCCGTTCAGCGGCGCTCGCAGCTGCATACCGACCGGTCTCGGCGTGGTGGAGACGCCCCCGCGTCCCTCAGCTCGCACACCGTGCACTGACACTGGCTCTGTCGCTCCACGATCGCCATGGAGGCACGCGCACCGAGCGCGTCTTTGGTCCACGTGTCAACAGTCGCCCGGTACGGTCCCGCGCCCTCCAGTAGCTGTAGTGGGCCCGCCGCTGGGGTGACGGCCGCCAGCCGGCGCTGCTCAGAGCCTGGCGTGCACCCGCGACAGGTGGCGCTTCATCATCCAGCTGGTCTTGAAGCTGGAGTCGCAGTCCGGGCACGGGAAGTTCTTCTCAGTGGTGTGTCGGAACACCATGTGCTTGCCCAAGTCTCCCTTGGAGTGGAATGGCCGCGAGCAGATCTAGAACAGGGTCATACAGTCAGACCAATTTGCCTCTGATACCATAGAAGCGGTACAGGCAGCGATGGAAGATTTTGAAAGGTTTATCAGGGTAGAATTCGTCCGCCGGTTTCTCAGCTCGTTCTCCCAGGAAGAAATCTTTCTCCTTCACGTCTCAAATTTCCTGTTACGGGCTGGATGATCACGTTCACACACGTCTCAGTACTTAGCATGTTCACGCTCGATGGGGTGGCTGGGTCCGTCGCGACGGGCTCAGCCTCGGTGGCGCACCAGGCTGGCCGCCCAGAGCAATGTCTCCTGCAATTCCTATCATCCCTTGGGCTCTCAACTGGTCTCATAACACAAAAAAAGTCTATCAAAAAAAACTTGAATTCGTTATTGCTTTCCTCTGGACCAACCCATCTACAACCTTTCTCCCTCCGCCAGTTGCCACCGTCTGGGGTCTAACGGCCAGCGCCACCAGAAGACCTGTGGCCGGGGCAAGTCCTCGTTAGGAGTACACCTCCCCGGAGCGACCGTTTGAGTGAAAGGGAAAGCCGTCCCAACGGGACACTACCGTCCGACTGCGACCGGCACGGTGCGGACTGCGGTCAATGTGGTGGCAGTCCGTGTCCAGTGTTTCCGCCCATGCCATCATCCCATGTGTCTGAAATCCCTTTTTATCCAGGCCCAAAGTTGCTACGTGAAAAAATAATCAAGTTGGGCTGAAGGGAGGGTCGGGGCCGAACGAACACGAATCGACACTTGGTTGTTATTGAATCATTCCGCATTATAAAACTGACAGACTGCGCCGAAATGTGGCATGTCAGCGGCAACCACACACCCTCACAATACATCGATAAAATCACAATTATGTTCGGCTCCGATCTAGCTTACCTCGCAGATGAACTTCGGGTCCTGATGGATAGCTATGTGCCGCGTGAGATTACACTTTTCGGGGAAGCGTTTCTCACAGTAAGGGCACGGTATCATGCGGTCCTTGTGATTCTCCTGCATGTGCCGATGCAGCTTGATCTTGGTCCGGGCGATGTGCTTGCAGTAGCGGCAGTTGAAAGTCTCAGCCGAGGCGTGTGTCTGGCGGTGAACTGAAAAGGCGAGGGCTGGTCTTAGGCAGAGAACATAGAAACAGAACACGTGGAAAGAGACAATATTAACACCAACTACCTACCATGATAAGTAGCAGTGCCACCAGGACAAAGTTTGCACATTGGTAGCCGCGAGGATGCGCAGTTGCTCACCCTGCAGCTCGGGGAAGGAGCTGAACGTGGCGTCACACACGTCACAGAAGTAGCCGCTCTCGTTGCCCCAGCGGCGCCGCTTCAGACGCCGGCGAGGCTTCCGTTCGATGATGGTGGTCATGTCAGAAGTCTGCGCGCGACAAACGGGAGGACCCAGTCAGAGTGGCAGCCTTCTACGGATCTCGATAAACTCAGTGCCGCTGTTTGAGAATTTACCACAGGTGAGACTCCATCAAAATCGGAGGCAATTGGAAAAAAGTTCATCTTTTCCGGATGAGCGCAACGTCATTATGCTGCTCAACTTTTGCATACGGATTCGTTAGTAACAATTTTTACTTTATGGGCTCTTCTTCGATCATTTTAAACAGGTTAGACGTCTCACATCAATAAAAAACATCGGTTTATTTACAGGTTTTCCTCTATAGCCAAGGGTTCCAGCGGCACAGAAAACAGAGACATCCTCAACTATCTGTATAAAGGTATCATAATTCATCAACCAATGGCACAGCACATAATAGAAACAACTCAACGGCATCAAGGTATTGAGATAGATTGAAGGAAATCCTCGCTTTGACATTGCTATCAGAGTGAGGAAGCAGGAGTTTATGTTGATGACACAATTTCTTTTAAAAAAACAAGATTTAAGTCCAGGAGAACATTGTTATAATGGACAGCTTTAGATAAATTCATTGCAATAGTCTACACCATAACCCATATCATATAGTCCACATCTGTCATTTTCCCTCATCTTCCATGGTAGAATCTAGCCTGTCCGGCGGACAGCCCACCCGCCGCTGCTGATCCGCAGCAGGTGGGGCGAGTCACTGACCTCGATGTCGTCGCTGAGCTGGACGCTGTAGGGCACGTGGTCCAGCTCCACCAGCTGCTGCTCCGTGTAGCCGTCCTCCTGCTCGTAGAGAATGATGCTC